CACTTGACATTGCCTTTACACACAAGTACCATTTCACTTTTCTAGCAATTTATTTTATTTTACAAAAGTGTCAGTCCACCAAGGAGGCGAAATGTAAAGAAAAAAATAAAAAGCAAAAAAGGAACAAATAAAAATTATCAAACCAGAGTTTGGAAAACACCATTTTGATTTTCGTGGTTCAAGCAGGAAATCAGAGTGGCAATTAAAAAGCACTTAGGGGGCCAGTGATTTAGCTCAGTGGCACTGTGCCTACCTCACAAGTGCAAGGTTCGGGGTTCAATTCCAGGTACAGGAGGGGAGAGCACTTAAGAGTCAAAATTTTTAAAAGGACGTGTTCTCCTAGACCTTTTTTTGTTTTCAAAATTTACTTGTATTAGCACATGTTTGCAGCGCACAATGGCAGTCCTCACGGGGAACCGGTTCATGTGCATAACACATCGCAATTCTTTGTTCATGCCCTTTATTCCCTTCCCTCCTTGTCCTCTTTTCCTCCCTCCACCTCTTAGTCTCCTTTGTCTTCGTGAGAAATCGATCTCCCTGTTCGCTATTGCCCATCTTTTATTCTCCTCTTTAATGTATAGTCTGGGTTTCTCATGTAATAAGCGAAGCCGCGCAATATCTAAGCTCACATGTCCCATTTATTTCCCTTAACATCACGGTCTCAAGTCGCATTCATTTTCCTTCAAACGACCCAAATCCTGATTATGGCAGAGTAGTACTCCACAGTGTGCAAATACCCTATTTTCTTTATCCGTTCATCTGTGGGTGGACAAATAAGCCACTGCTTCCAAGATTCATCTGTTACGAGTTAGCTGCTGCGCACTGTTGTAATACGATGCCTTCAACTCTTTCAGAACAATGTCTAGAAGAACAGCTGGGTCTCACAGACCTTACTCTTAACTTTTGTGCCTGTGTCACCATCGGCCTACGTCCCCACCAAGTTGGGGATCATGCAGCCACTTTTGTATCTCTCCTGCCTGCCTGGTGCCTGCTTCAGCAGATAGATATTCCATATCTACTTGGGCGCCGCATGCTTACTTGGATTTCAGTAATCACTGAAATAGTTACTCGAGTGAAGCCACAGCCCTGAAATCCGGCCTCCACCTCCTCCTCCCTCTCCTCCACTCCCACTGCTTGGCCCCTGGTGTTGCGGTGAGACACCAGGATTCTGTGCGTGGCGCAGTGTATTTTTCCTGAGGCCCAGAAGGCAGTGGCTGGGATGACCTGCACCTCCTCTGGGATTTAACAATGACAGGAGATGAGAAGAGAGAGTGGAGGCATCTTTTCATCATCCATGCTTGGGGCCACGTGAAGGAGCTCCTTAAACCCAAATTGGATTAGCAGGACAGGATCAGAGCCAGCTGGAAGGTCTGAGAACCCTAAAAACTGCTGCATGGGGGCTCCTATTGTTTTCATTCTAAGCCGGTGCTCAGCCCATCAAACAAAATATGCAGCTAGTCATTAATAACAAAAGAACGAAAATGAGATATAAAATGAAGTGGCCACATTTTTATAATTCCCCAAAGGCTGAATTAGGCAATAAAAGTTTAGACTAGCAAAAAATAAATAGGATAATCTGAGGTAAGAGTTTAACGTGCATTTTTTTCCTTAGTAAGAAAAAAACTCACTAAAAAAGTCTATCAAAATCAAAATGAACAAATAAATAAGTCTCTAGATCCTCCATCAAGAATAACTTTAAGGAAAATGATTAAGAGGTGACTTCAAAAAAGAAAAATATTTGAGATGTATGAGAAGTGTTCGTTCGATGCACCTGGCCATTTCCAATGAACTGGAGTCCCTGATCTAAATGATTTACAACCCCAGGGCGCCGGGAAAATTTGCAGGCATAAACACAGAGCTCCTGTCAGTAACTCTTGAGAAATCACAGCGAATACACCATTGACAGAAGAGTACAGAGGCCAAGGCACTAACAGGGATCGAACTCAGGACTTTGCTCTTGTGAGGCAGGCGACGGAACCACTGAGCTAAATCCCTGGCCCGGCACTAACTTTTGAAGAAAGGGGAAATGGTAAAACATGAATCATGTTGATGGTGAATCAACAGTGAGTTTCACACTGATTCCATCAAAAATTCTAGAAAATACAAATCTGAGGTCTGCCATTTATTTGTTTTGTGATAGTGAGGGGTTGAAACCAGAGCCTTTGCACTGAGACACATCCCCAGCCTTTTGTATCTTTCCTTTGAGGCAAGGTCTTGCTACGTCATTAAGTTGTCCAGCTTGGGCTCAAAGTTGCAATGGTCCTGCCTCAGCCTCCCACTGTTCTGGGTTTACAGGCGTCTGCTACCACATCAGGCTGAGTTCTGCCATTTAATGGCAATGTAACCTTGAGCATATTTTAAAACTTAGTTGTAAGGATTAAATAAGATATATATGAAAATAATATATTTAAATGAGATGATACATGTGAAATAACATTACATGTTAGACAAATTATTAGTAAACCTTGTTTTTGTTTTTGTTTTTTTTTTTCATTTCTATCACTTCAAAAAGTGGGAATAGCAACTAGGTCCTCACACAGCCTCATCAAGAACCAGTCTTGTCTACCTGGCTTCATTTTTCTGTTCTAGAGGTACAGGGTGTAAAGGTTGGCTGGAGTACTGGGAAGTATCTTCTTTCTGGAAAAGCATTTAATGGAATCTGAGGAAAAGGCTGGATTTTAGGAGTTAGCTGACTGAATAACTTTCCCCCCAGGTACCATTCGTGAACATGCCTCAGTTTCCTTTCTTGTACAATGATTTAATAACAGCGTCTCACTGGCTGCCGTCTACATCACAGCACCTGGCCTTGGTCAGCGCTGTTTCAGCGTTGCCCACACGGCCGCTAAGGAAGTTCCCAGCGCCCAGGCTTGTGCAGTGCTGGCCCCGCCTCTCCAACACTTCCCTCCGGAATCACTTCCGTTTTTGTGCAGTGCTCTTGTTAGGCTCTCAGATGACAGGAATGTTGCATAACGAAATCAAATCCCTAAAAACCTTGAAAGGCTAGGGCTTTGAGTTGAGAGGTGAAATTAAGTTCTAGGTAGAAATTTGAAGAACGAATGTTTTTCCATGTAGTTTCCTGCCTTACTAGGATTTTCTGTGGATCACAAAGGGATTTTTAATTTTAGTCCACGCTAAGCTCCACTCATGAAGAAGACTGCACCCAGCAATTAATGCAATGGTCCACTGCATTAGAACACCCTGCGTGGCCCAGGCTGACCTTGAACTTGAGGCAATCCTCCTGCTACAGCCTCCTGAGTGGCGGAGTAACAGGCTTATTCCACCATGACCGGGTAGGGGACATTTTAGACCGTAACACGGCCCAACCAAGAACCACGTGAACATGTAGTCCAGGATGGTGAGCACAGTGTGTCCATCACGACCTCTTCTCTGCCACTAGTTTCTTCTGAACAGCAGCTCAGCTCCTGTGACACTGGGTCTCAGGAGAGCTGAGAGCACAGACAAACAGTAAGGAAATGGAAGACAGGAAGGGAGTCACATTTCCAACTCCTCTGGGGTCGGGAAACATCCTCAGGTGGGTTTGAGAGGACAGCCTCAAGATTTGCAAGGAAAGATAATTAGAACTTTATCAGGCACCTAATGCCTCACTGTGCTACAATCCTGAAATAAATTCCCTTCTAATCGTGATTAAGACAGCTTTATCTAATCTGTTTCCTACAGGAAATCAAGGTACTCTGGGGCACTTTATCAACGTTTTGCTCATAATAATCCCTGTCCCTGACAAAAGAAGATATTGTCATCCCCGAAGTACAGATAAGAAATTGAGGCAAAGAAATAGAGTGAATTGCCCTGGGTAACACAGAACCCCGAATTTCAATTTAGTGTCTAATTGCAGACCACATTACCTGCGTTTGGGAGGAAGCATAGTGGAATCACATTATAGCTTCAAAAAAGGGGCCTATTTACCTTAATCTCTGTGAAAGAGAAGATTAATTTCATTTTCCTTGACACATACCAAAAATATTGAGTAGATGCTTTAGATTCTACATGCTTATTCTAATCCTTTTCCAAATACTTCAAAAGCCTTAGTTTGACCACTATTTAGGATGATGCAGGAAATTAAATTTATTTTCTAATTAAGGTAAATATTTGTTTGCTGGAATGCCCAAGGAAAGTAATTAATCCAGAATACTGTACAGTACAGACAGGTTATTTCAGATCATCAGGAAGCAAGAATCTCCCTTAACGGGCACATATCCAGATGGCCTGATTCTCTGTCCCCAGCCCTGCTCCACTCCCAGCCTAACCACACTGTTCAGGGACCACATAAATAAAGACCAAGGGAATCAGATTTTTAACCAAAAAGTGTTCCATGCAAATGTAAGTTATTATTAAACAGATTTACATATTTTACCTAATTGCTGAAAGAAATCATGTTCATTATAAAAATCTAGAAAATAAAATTATGCCAAAAGTATACACTGTGCCACTACCAACTAATAACCTTTTGTCACTGTTTACAAAGAGCAGATTCTCCAAGGCTCTTTTCTCAGGCAGGGGCTAACGCAATGCGAAGGTTCTGCAAGTAGTTTCTCTTAAATTAAGTATAGAAACTGGCAATTTACCCATGGACAACTGCCTTTTATTTTCTTGCCATTTGTCTTAGAAGACAAGACCAATATATCTGGTGGTAAAGACAGAAATGATTGCATTTTACTGGCCCGAGAATCTTACGCGATCATTGTAGAACTGTATAACTCACTTACGTAGACCAAGTACGACCCAAAATGGACTGTCCGCCTCTTTACCTGTACACAAATAGTTACATCTACGGAATATAGGTACATTTTGATCAAATCCTGCCTTTCCCTCAGAAAAAAAGACACACCTGCACATTCGGAACCCATGTAAAAGCTGGATTAAAAAAATGTTAATAATCAGCAAATGATGAGTAAAATGGAATCTTTCCAAATAGGGCGTAATGCTGCCCCAGACCAGCACATTTCAATTTCTTTCTTTTCCACCAGAAGCCACATCATTACCTTTTTGTTCGCAGCCACACCATCCTCACAGTCGAGCACCACACAGTCAACATTCAGAGAAGGAATCTTCTTTATTTTCTTTTCGTCGTCCCCAGGTACGTACAGAACTGCCCTCCGAGGAACATACTTGTGACTGGACGAGGAACTGTAGCCAAGCCTGGGGACATCGGCTGCTTGGGAGGTGCCCCTGCAGGAGACACAGCTGGGGTTAGCCTGGAATGGAATTCCTGCACTCATGAAGCTGCAAAAGAACTGATCTTAATGAAAAATTAAAACAGAACATATTGACAATCTTTCTAAATTAAGGCAGAACAAAATCCCACATTAAACTCTAGAAAAACGATTATGACAAGATATAATCAGTGAAGCTCACATAGCGGTGCACACCTGCAATCCCAGCACCCAGGAGGCAGAGACAGGAAGATCACCATCGATTCGAAGCCAGCATGAGCTACACAGTGAAGCCAAGACTAGCCTAAACTACATACTGAGACTCTGGCTCAAAACAACAACATTGACAATAAGCACACAAAAAAATCCTAAATGACAAAATGTCATTTTGGCTGAGGTTTAAAAAATACACAGTCTTGGGCCGGGGTTCCGCCGCCTGCATCGCAAGTGCAAGGATCCGAGTTCGATCCCCAGTACCAAAAAAACAAAAACAAAAACAAAATCCACAGTCTTATTTATTGGCATTATCTTCTGGGAGATGGAGGAGACTGTAGCTAATCTCCGAAAACACTCCCAGTATCAGTATGCTGTCCAGATAGCAACTGTGGGGAAAAAAAGATGAGAAATGTACATCCCAAAGATACTAAACAATAACACAGGTGGAGTATTGTTTGTCTAAAATAGTGGGGCCAGAAGTATTTATCCTGTAAAAACAATGCTTTATGTTTAAACTGAAAATTTTGCTAAAGGAAGAGAAAACTGGCTCTTAAAATCAGGATGTTTCATAATTTGCAGGCCCCAGTGTGAGATGGAAATGAAGAATCTTCTGTTTAAAATAGATTAGGATTTTTGTTTGTTTTAGAGACAGGGTCTCACTATGTAGCCCAGGCAGCCTTGAACTCATGGGGATCCTCCTGCCTCAGCCTTCTCAGTGCTGGCATCACAGGTGTGTGCCACCATACCTGGCTTATTAGAATTTAATGTTGGTAATGGAAGAATGTGAAGGCAGGTGCCAGAGCATAAATTACACGCCCATGTCCTGCTTTAACAGGTGCTATGTGTCATGCTGAATGTCAGCAAGACTGCTGGCAAAGGACAGGTTACAAAGAACAGGTTAGCTAACTAATATGCCCTGTCTTTCCCCCAAATAAATAATGTGACCTTTTTCAAGTATGTATCAGTTGAACTCTTCACATCAGTAGCTATCTTAATACCATCAAATATTCTGCATAGTTGTAACATTTTTCTTTTTCTTTTGTTTTCTTTTTTTGTTTTTTGAGACAGGGTCTCCATATGTAGTTCAGGCTGGCCTTGAACTCACTATATAGTCTAGGCTGGCCTTGAACTTGCAGCGATCCTCCTGTTTCAGCCTCCCAAGTGCTCAGATTACTGACATGCACAATCGCCCTCAGCCTCATTCTGCTATGACTGATGTAACTTATGACTTACTGAACCTGATGAAAAAAATCACTGTTTTTGGGAGGATCTAGCAAATTTGTGTGGACACCCCCACATACCACATCTAGGACTGAACTCACAACCTTGTGCTCGCTAGGCAGGCGCAGCACCACTGAGCTACATCGCCAACCCACCCTTTTTCCTTCTTGCTAGTAACCTGTATAACTGAATTTTAATCTTATTTTTCCACAACTTAAGTACTGTGCTGTGTGAGGTATGGTGAGAAATAGATGGATTTTTAAAGTGTATGTCTTATAAAACATTTAACTTCATATAAAATGTGTTAAGGCCAACTAATTGAAGAAAGTCTTAATTACCTGTCATCACTTTGCACTGACTGAAAATGCCTGGCTAATTTACAAGAAGGGAGAAAACAGGATTATAGGAACAACTATATTTTATTTACTATTCACTGTGAAAACAGAATTGACAATAAATGTCAGGAAATGCTTGGGACAAAGTCTCTGCTCACGAGGAGCAGTGTAAGCAGACATGTAAAAGCCAAAGGAGAACCAGGACTGTCACCCATGTAGACAACTGTACCAAGATGTGGTTGTACACACCTGTAATCCCAGTAGTTTGGGAGGCTGAGTTAGGAGGATCACAAATTCAAGCCCAGCCTGGGGCAACCAAGAAATTTAGTGAGACTCTGTCTCAAATAAAAAAGAAAGAAAGAAAGAAAGAAAATTTAAAGGCTGTGGAGCTGTGGATGTAGCTCAGTGTGGAGGCCTTGGGTTCAATCCCCAGTATCACACACACACACACACACACACACACACACACACACCCCTCTCTGTGTGGCCCAGACTGACCTTGAACTTACTAGCCTGCCTCATCCTCCAAGATGTTGGGATTATAGGTGTGTACTACACATCTAGCTTAATTTTTCTTTTTTTCCTTCTCCTTTTTGGAGCCAGACATTAAAGCATTACAACTTTTAGGATGCTAAATGTAATCCTCACGGTAACTACATAGAAAATAGTTCTAGAATATGAACAAAAGGAAACGATAACAGAATTGAAACATTTTACTACCAAAAAAACAAAACAAAAAAACCTACCAAACCTACCAAAAGAAGGCAATGCAGGAAATAAGTGACAAGAAATATAGAAAACAAATGGCAAAATGACAGAAGTACTTAAATTCTACAATCAAAAGACAGGAGTTAGGGCTGGGCTGTGCTTCAGGGCTAGAGGACTTGCCTAGCATGTGGGATGTCCGGGGTTCAGTGTCCAGCCACACACACACCCATGTGGTGGATGAAGAGACACCACCATGTTATTACACGACCGCCTCTGTGTTGGATGGCACTCAGCAGCACTATTCAGTGCATTAAAAAAAATTTTTTATCAGTACATGTTTACAAGGCACCATGACTACATCCATTGTGGGGAGCTGGTACGTCTATATTTATCATCTCTTAATTCTGTATCCTTTTCCTTCCCTCCCCACCTGCTCCTCTCCCTCCCTAGGTCCCTTTCCCATCTCCAAAGAGCTTACCTCCTTGTTTCCTGTCATCTATCTTTAATTTTTATCTTTAAATTATTTACTTTGAGTTTCTCACATAAGAGGAACCTGCAATATTTAACCTTCTGTGTCTGATTTACTTTACTTGGCATTAAGGTCTCAAGATACACCCATTTTCCTACAAATGACTCAAGTATATCTTTCTTTATGGCTGAGTAGTACTCCATCGCATACACATACCACATTTTCTTTACCACTCATCTGTTGATGGACATGTACGCTGCTTCCAAGATTCAGCTAACTGAATCATGCTGCTGTAAACACGAGTGTGCACGTATCACTGTAATTGGATGTCTTTAACTCTTCGGTGAAGATCCTCAAAAGAGGCAGAGCTAGGTAAATGGAATTCCTGCTCTTACTTTCTTGAGGATTTCCACAGTGGTGGTAGTAGTCTACATTCCTACCAACAACAAAGAAGGGTTCTTTTTCCCTGGCCAACATTTGTTGTGTTGTTCTGAGATCCTGAAGATATAAAAGACGACTTTCAAAACTACTTCAGAAGATGGCAAGAACAATGGGATAAATACGCTGGAAGCGAAGGAAGCATTCTGAGGAAGGTTAATGGCAATGTAATTTTATTATAATAAATATTTATTTAAATACACACCATATTTCTGATCATCCACTGTATGCAAAAATAGCAAAGAAAAATATCTACAAGTAAACACATTAAGGACGTCTCTAAACTGTAGAACTTAGGACTTAGATTTCTCTGCCTCTGCACACTTTCTTCTATTTTGCATATTTACCAGAAAGAACATTATTCCTTTTTAATTCTTTTAGACATAGCTGAAACAAACCCATACGAGTATTTATAAAAGGTCTCCAATGGTAGCATACTATATCAGAAAGCACTAATAAGCCAAGTGATATGAAATTGGGTCGTATATCCCATTTTAAACTACAAAACAGCAACTGTGTATGGCCCAACCCAGCATTCTGACAACCGTAGGAAGGGGTGAGAAGCCGGTATCAATTTCTTACTTCAGTGAAAAGCAACATGATGGCTGCCGACATGGGCGAAAGTTCACATAAGTGGTAAAAAAAAGAACACAGCAGCATGAAGGCGTCACTATTGTGTTACCTGGTACCTGTCCACAGTGTGCTGCTGTGGCCCTGGTCTGGCCTGGACTCCTGTATCCAGACCACCAAAGCTGTGACCAGCTGTCCAAGGATGCAGTGGGCACAAGGTCTACACAGAAGAGCTTGGCCCATCCTGTTCCCTCGGTTGTGGCTATGCCAATCTGGTTGGCATTTCTATAACAAGTACTAGAGGCTGGGTAACTTTACAGAGGAAAAAAAAATGACTCTTTGGCTCACAGTTTCGAGGTGAAAGTCCAAAAAGCATGCGCACTCTCTCTGCAGAGGCTCCCTCGGCTGTGTCACAAGACAGCACCCTGACGGGGGAAGTCATGCAAGCACAAGAAGCCAGAGGCTGCAGAGAGGCCAGGTGGGCTCCTTTATAATACTCCTCCAGAGGAACTAACTCAGGGCCCCCACAAAAAATACCCTAGTCCCTGTATGTGCATGACCTGAGCATCCCCCACTAAGCCCCACCCTCTCCATTTTTGTTTCGTTTTTTGTTTTGAGACAGGGTCTCTCTACGCAGTCCAGGCTGCAGAGGTCCTCCTGCTTCAGCCTCCTGAGTGCTGGGATTAGAAGAGGGGCCCACCACACTCAGTGAGATCCCACATCTTAAAGCCACCACTGTCTCACACCACCACAGACAGCAACTTCCAACACATGACTTGTTGGGAGACAAAGACCCATGCAAACATCTCCAGAAGCAGCTGCCATTCCTCTGGCATGGTTGTTCCCATGGAGGAGCCAAGTTTGAACCTCTTGTCCTCCCCCTCCCTGTGCATCCCTCTGTCCCATAATACATTTACACCCTAGTCCAGGGCCTCCTCCATCCTACCTGAGCAACTAGGAAGGGCTCTTTCACACCTCCACTGTGTCCTCTGCTCACTTCTTCCTTTAGTGAGCACTAAGCAGGCAACCAATAGGTGGCCTCCAGCAGCCATGAGGTAC